AGTGGTTAGCGGTTATAGAGACACACTAAGAGGCAAGTTCTTGTCTTCTAAAATTAAGAGATAATTTTTTTCCTCACGACTATGCATTGTTAGTACAAAAAGGGTGGGAAGACCTAGCAAATGAGGACACTCATTTACATCTTTGGCTTGCCAGCCCAGACGCACAATTTTTGTTTCAAATAGTGGGCTTGATTCTCCAGTCTGACTTCATTTTTCCCCGCTACTGGAAATTCTGTCCTATAAGGGAAAATTTGCTAAAGTTAATAGCTGTCCCTTTTCATTACTGGATACAAAATGGAAAACTTGTTTTCACATATCAGACAAGATATATGAAAATCTGCCATTCTTCCTAACTTAAACAGTCTCTTTCATTTAAATGGTACTGCTCAGCAGGGTAAGAGTTTCAGAGTTAATCTCTGATTTTAAAATGATCACAACTGGCAAAGGTGTCATACCTTCACCTTGGTAAATAGTCTTGTACACTGGGAAATTTGGGGAGGTTCTCAGTGGAATGGGCTCATCAGTTAAAAAGATCTTGGGTTAATGTGCAGCACAGGTGACTAGATAAATTGGTGCCCTTGGCAGTGAGCGACCACAGAGCCTTCCTGCCCACTGATACGTACAAGGATCAAGAAAGGTTAATTGCAGCAGAGTTGGAGATGTGACTGGAATGCGTGCTAATTCTGCCCTCCCAAATGCTCAACATGTTTTAGCTGCCTGTCAGTGTGCATCCAATGATACCATTGCTTGGATTCCAGGCATGCCTTTAAACACCTTTCAGGCTTTTTAAAAAAGCTGGGAGCAAGTAATCAGCATTATTCTGATATCCCAGCCTAGGATAAATATTGTTTTAACTTACAAAAGCTGCCAAAGCACATACACACAGATACTCGCTCAGGCACACCCAGACACACTCCCAATGTGCTCTCTTCCACATAAAGGATTTCCCCACTTTTATAGAACAAGCCTAGCTGAGAAGCTACCTAAACTTCCAAAACACACATATTACTTTAATGGAGAGAAGCTCTTGGAAAGATCAGGTAACTTTCAAGATAATAAGGGTCACATCCTGATACTCTCTTCCCCTCTAGACTCTGTCTACCAATATGTCTTTAGGATCTAAGCTTGTGCACTGGCTCCTTTCTTCATTTTTGTGATAAATCTGGGCTCCAGTCCTGGTAGGGTCACCACAGCCCTGCCCCTCTCCTGATGCATATATACCAGTTGCCTGTGCTGTTTTCAAGGTGTTGATCTTACGCTTAAGGCTAATAAGTCTCATAGACAACCCACTGTGCACATTAACCATAGGCAGTTGTTATTATGATAAGCACTCTGCTTTGTTGACTGTGAACATAACTCTCTGCCATTGTTTCTGAGAACAGCTGCTGGCTGCTCGCCACTTAAGAAGCATCTGCAATCCTCTGTGGGTCCCTCCCGTGGAAATCAGTAGGAATTTTCCATCCATTCCAGTGGGAAATCTCATGGATCACAATGTAAAAAGATCCTTACCAACAGACGACCCATAAAGCTACTGATACCTAACAAGCTCTCTGACAGCAGATGCTTCAAATTATACAGAATGCATGTCTAAGTCATAAAGGAAAGCTATATATTTCCTTCAGATCGTGAACATTCAGTCCAGACCCCTTGCTGACAGGCTGTGGATTTAAAGATTTAAAACATTTGCAGACTACAGTTATTTAAGGCAACAGAGAGACCATATCTTCAGGGACACTTTACCTGTTGTTGCTGCTTTTTACTTCCTTGGTCTTTCCCTGTAGTCCAGTAATAACATCCATCACCTTGCAAGACAAGAAAAGTAGATTAACTATAGTTTAAGACATGTATGTAAAACACATGGCAAACCATATATATGCAGCACAATCAGCAAAGAAGGAAATAGCACTGGCCAACTGTAGTATCAAATAGATAGAATATCAAAATCCTTGCTCCTTTTCTCTGCTTTTGTTCAGAGCTGGGTGTACATTCCTGTTTGTCCTGTACTTATCAGAATAAGCTTCTTTTGCTCTGCAGCCATTTCTAGCATGATCTTTGAAATCAGTGATATGTTGGTGATACCAACAGTACTAGGCTCAAGGTCTGTAAATTCAGAGCTGTAACATGCCCATCATGGTCATATGAAAACAGACATCCTCTGAAAAAACAGGGGGAAGGAGAAGGTGGCCATATGGGTCATATGGCATATGATTTTTCCTGTGCTTCCTTTTCTTTGTTGCGAGTTGCACCCCAAAAGGTACAGCACCATCACAACAGACTTGCCTCCAGGGTGCTCCATCCAGAACAGTTTCCTCTAAGCTATGCACCCTGGCATTGGAGGTGCTGCAGGAGTAGAAGGATAGCTGAAGCATTATTTATCTGACAATAAACACAGCAGTCAAAATGCAAATATACTGCTAACAGGTCTAAGAGATACAATGAGATTGTGAACAAAAAGAAAAGCTAGAAACAATTTTCTTCCATATTTGAGTACATGAAGGGCAGAAACACTACCTCCCTAGCTCAAACAAAATTAAGTGGCACATAATAAGGTATTGAGGCTTGTTTCAGAGTTCTTTGTAGAAGTATTTGATCTAGTATCAAGTGCAAATCTAATGAGCTTGTAACACTGCCTTCAAAATTAGTAGGTAGTAAATACTAAAAGCTTGTTGGTAAGCTTTTAGATGCATATGCAATACTTGCTAAACAAAAATATGTAAGACCTCAAATACGCTTATAATTTAAATGAAATTCAGTCAAACCAGAGAAAGGGATTTTAAGCCATCAGTGAAGACTGAAGAGCTGGTTTGAGTTCCTGCTTTGATCATGGGCAATTTCCATGATAGCAGTCAAACCATACAGAGTAGACTGTGCTTCAGTTTCCCATTGATAGTATCAAGGCAGCAATGCACCCCTTATTTTATCCATTCAGAATAGTCCTCATGATCTGTAAGCAGCTATGCGAGAGGAGAAAACAGGACTCTTCGCATGAGTAATGCATGCTTTTTATCCCTGAGTCAATGGAAGAGTTTAGCCCTGCATCTTTCATAACCATGCATAACCACTCTGCTGTTTTATTCAGATCTCACTCATGTCTCGGAACACTGTTCCCTTAATAAATGAAAGTAGTACACAGAAGGTTGCTTTAAAGTAATTCCAATTAAACTAGTAGCAACAGGATGAGAGTCTCAATGGACCATTATTATACTGCACGCACAGTAAAGGTTCAGATTCATCTATACTGCAATTAGACAGAAAACCAGATTGCATTGACTAATTATTTTAAGTAACTTTGCATTAAATAGTAAATCTTAGAATAGTAAGACTCAACTTTGTTCATACATCTAGTCTGCCTCTCTAGAAGCTCTACCAGTTTGTTCCTTTGGGATCTACTTCAATGTCTGGTCTTCAGACTTTCACTGGATAGTTGATGTCAGGTCAGCATCCCTAAAGAAATAATCCAAAGATCTATAAAGCCTGAGATAATGAAGGCATTTGTTTTCTAGACTTTTAAGAGCTTGGCTGACTCGGGGCAGGCCGGGGCCCCTTGTCATGACTTCCATGCCCTCTAACAGAGGAATACACAGGGAAAGGGTTGAAACATGACAGTTGTCACTTGGAAACTAGATTAGGGCTTCTGAGTTTTGAAGGTCTTGAAACAACAGCCTCTCTGGGTACTACAACTAAAGCAGCTTTGAAAGACACAACCCACACGAGTACTCTCGCCAAGCACTGCTCTCAAAGCATGCTTGAAGGTGTTTCACATCCCCTGCACATCAGCCAAGAACATCACAACTACAACTCCTAGTTTTGCTTCCCATCAGTGAGCTCCACTTCAAATACAGCTTAACAGGCTATCCCGTATCTTGCAGACACACACAAGTATTCCTGGATTTAATTACCTAAGTTTGCCTCTCCAGAAACATTCTTTGGATCACCAAGAACCTGCAGCTTGTTGTGAATACAATTAATCTAAAAGAACAGTTTCACCATATGATAAAATGCTCTTTTAATAAACAGCAAATGGTTTGACCAGGAGCCTGATTTGAAAACAAAACAGCAGACTAGGAGCCAGCTTTCTGGACTCCAAAGGAATGCCTTGCCCTCTGGCAGTCATTCAAGGCTCCAATAAACAGTAAATATTTAGTGTTATATACACTCCTTCCAAGCACTGATGGAAAGGATGCATGAATTCAACCACTCACTCAGATCTACCAGAAGAGCAGGCAGGCAGCACCAATGCTGCCTCATCTTGTATTTTAATCAGCTCCTGACACAAACTGCTCTCCAGCATATGCAGGGCACTCGGCAAGTGGTCACAGCTCTTTTTCTACACTGGCATTGTATGAAAGGATGATTTTATTCTGGGTTACAAATCTATTAGGACCGGAACAGTCTCCTCTATTTGGGTTTGAAAAACGCCTGGAACAAAAAGCTCCGACCCATTGCACCTATTCAAATTGCTACAAATTTGCACTGGGCTTGCAGAATTCCAGCTTCTTTGCAAGTGTTGATAATATAGATCTGCTCCCTCCTGTTAGCTATCCATTCATCTGCTTTCTCCCTCTCCCCCTCCAGCAAACATACATGAGGAGAGTCAGCACCTGAAGAGGCTGTGTGCTGATGCCAAAGGGAAGCTCTCCACTGGAAAAAACACTATTCTGTTACGGTTTCTTCATTGTCATGAAGCATATACCAATGCCTAGGTCACGTTGCAGCCTGAGCATAGGAATGCACCAAAGGGAAACGTTTCTTTTCTGTAGGAAAACTAGCAAGGTCCACTTTATTTCCGTTCTGCTTTTGGATGAAGAAAAAGAAAGACAAAGCATTTTAATTACTGCATTATCTTTATTTGTATATGACAGATTTGTTGCACTCAAAGCTTTGGATAGGCAAGTTGAGTCTAAGACCAAGTTTTGTTCCAGGTGGAGAACATGGTTACCATCACAAAAGCATGCAAAGAAACAAGCCGTTTCCATGCAGCAGAATTGTCAAGATCCAGCCTAATTGGCTTTTTCACAGATTTTCATGACAAGAACACTTGGAATTCCTGCAGTGTCACAGCCATTAACATTCTGTGGTGCTAAAAGAAACAAGAAAATGAAGATATTATCAGTGACAAGATCCCTGCATCCAGCAAGGGAAAGTCTGTTAAATCCACAAGTTTCAAAACCCCAATTATGGTCCTACTGGAGGCTCCTGTTGGTCTCAATGGATACTATGTAAAACTTTATGGTGTAACTCAAAGGGAGAAAATGTCTGTATGGCTTTAAATCACCTTTGTGCTCCTGCGTTCCCACAACCTGCATACAGCGGGTAGCATGCTGGCATACAGCAGATGCCTTGTGGGACCATTGTATCATCGGGGCGTAAGTTGGGTACAGCTGCTACACAGTGGCTTCCTCTGACACCAAGCAAACCACTTTGGAACAGCTGTTTAGATGCCTAACAATGAAAGCCAGTACTTTACCAGATTTTCCAAAGCATGCCAGAGCCTTACCCTTTCAATCCTGCTAGGTAGTTTACTCCTCCTTTCTAAAACAGGGTAGTATGTCCTGCCTCAAAGGTACCACGTAGACTTAGGTTTAAAAGATAGAAAGGTGCTTAGGCATTGTAACAGAAGCATAACATTCTGATCTTGCAACTTACATTGAATCTTTACAGGGTGGTAGAGAGGCAGACCTGCACAGAGATGTTCGATCTCTTTACCATAGAGAATCCAGTCTTTGATATCCCCCCAAACGGAATGGCCAGATTGAAACTCTACCCACACCTTACTTGGAGAGTATATTGTCTTCATAGTCTAAAAAGAAAATGTTAAACATCATCAGTAATGTAGCTTTGGTTTCAGTCTACTGGGATACCCTTTGAGAAAATCCCAAAAATCTCAAGTTGCCTTCCTTTGACTCCCACAAAGGCTTAGCTAAAGAAGCTACATGCTTTTTAAGAAAACAAACATTTTCAATCCATTCAGAAACAAAGTTCACTAGATACTAGTTCTGTCAAAATAGCAAAATTGAGCTGTATTACTATCATAGTAAGTTATGTTAATTGGCAGTAAGTTTTGCTGTAAATACGCTACTGTCAGGCTGTCATAAAACAGGCCCAGACTCAAGTTCATCTCCAGGCAATACTTCCAGTCACCTTCATGAAACCTTTGCCTGAATAAGAAAGTCAAAGCAAATCGATTTCTAAATTCTTTTCTGCAAAGTTATTTCAAGTTACATGAGGCTCAAAATATCAGCATGGCAATAAAAGAAACAGAAAAGCCTGCCTGAACTCATACCGCGATCACCCCAAAATAGTCAAATTACACTACTTCTGAGGACATGGGACCTTACAGCACTAGTCACATTGACAGCCCACTGTAAAACCACAGGGTGGGCCATGATTGCTCATTATCTTAAAATAATGTTCTGTATGATATTCCCTTGAAGTTCCATGTTGTCAGATGTGCTTTATCATTGCTAACACAGTAAAAGACATTCCTAAGAACAGATGTTCTTAAAGGCAGAATGGAGAGCTCCCATCACACCACACAACTCTTACACAGTAGCCTTTTTTGTATACAGTACAGGTTTCACTAAAGTCACCTTTCTCTCAAAAGCCAGGCGTCCAATTTCTTGCAGCTCTGGGATGTAGTCCTTATTTATCTTCAGGATAAAGCAGGCATTTCGTGAAAATAACCTTGTTGCAATATACCCCTGTGATTAAAAAATTATAGTTAATTAATTAAAAATGGCTACCACTAATATAGTTGGTTCTCTCTACTCTTTAGGACAATCTAGAAGAAACACAAAGTAGCTATGCAGGCTGCTATTGCGGAATGACTCTGCATTTACATTATCACCTTTGGGGAGCGGAAGCACACACTAACGTCTGTCCATAAGTCTTCAAGTATCTTTTCCGACAGACTTCTGCTGCACTTGCTATACATGAGTGATGGCAGCACATTCTCGGCTCTGACCTCATTGAGGTCAGTGACATACTTCTCACCTTCATGAACTGCCACCACAGGTTTCATTACAACTCTTTTAAACTGCACCATCATACAGGTGAAACAAAGAGGTGACCTAAGAGGAAAGGTGATGGGAGTCTTCAAAGAAACAGTGTTTCAGGACAACTTATGGCGAGAATTCACTAAAATAATTTCTGAGTTTAAAAACTTCCTCAGAGATTAAGTCTAGGCAGATTATTAGATTTACTTACATGTGAGTAGTCAAAAATGGTATCGGAGGAGTACATGCCAGCATTGACATGGACTTCAGCAATGTTTTTCTCATTGTGGATAGTCATAGTTCCAGTGACGTAGTCATTTTCAGGTTCTTGCAGGACAAAAGTCTTTGGTAAAAAAAAAAAACACAAAATCATTGTTCATCATCTGGCTTGCATCTTTTAAAGATGCAATATAAACAAATGCTTTCTCTCAAGTAAACAAGCATGATTGCTTTATGTAAATACTAAATCTCTTAACAACCCTCTAGCAGTCTCAGGAGGCCCTTGAGGTGGAGATTAATCATGCTAGAGTGCATAAGGGTGAGAAAGGAGGGGACAGACCCTCACTGCAGGCTAAGGAAAAACAACACAGGGCATACCAGTCATTACGTGTGACCACAGGGACTGGCAGGAGACTGCAACCGTCTCCAAATTTTAGCCTGAGCTAAGGGGATCTATGGCCCCACAAATTTCTTGCTACTATGCACCTACACAGAACTGCCTCTGGCTTATATGATTGCTACCTCTGGCAAATGCTATTTTTCTCTGCACTTGGCAATAAGCATCATCTTAGTTTCTCCTGTGCTTTTCTTCCTATTATATTCGCCCCCTGCCCAGGGATCCAATACATTTTAAGTGAGTACATGCACTAGAAGGCTTATCAGTCTACTTACATCCAATGCAGAAGCCTGCGTCCAAAAGACTCCCAACAAAACAAGAACTGCAGCCTGTAAAAGGAATAAGCATTCTTACTCAACAGAAACACCAGGCAGTGCCATAAAAAAAAAACAGTTCCTGAACTGAGGGAGGCAGCTGTAGCATCAGTTTGAAAAATTACCCACTTAACACATGTATTAGTTGAAAACAATTACAATTCTTCATCATAAAATTCTTGCTATTAGGCTCTTTTGCAGGTAACTGAAAAAAACAAAATAACTTAGCCATTACATTCTGTGTTTTTCGGAAGTCCCTCCCTGATGCCATGTTACTTCTTGATTTGCTTCTACAACTGTAATTATTAAATCATAACTAAATCCCCCTTCTGAATTGTAATCCAAGTTCTACACTCTTTGCTCAAGTGATGCTTCCACTGACTCCAAGGGGATTACCGTACACCCAAGAAATGCAAGTTTCCCACTGAACAACCCAAAGAAACAATACACAGATCATATTAGTCCCAGTACTATCCCACTTTCTTGAGCATCATCTTCTCTATCCTTTTGTTTTTAAAAATGAGGAAATTTTTATAATACAAGTTCAACAAAAATGGATATACTCACAAATCCGTTCATTTTTCTTTCAGATAGAACAAGAGGCTGCATGAAGTAAGAATGCAAGAAAATCCCAGAGACCTTCAACTTTTATATCTTGCTAGAGGTGTGGGAAACACTCAACAAACTTTTCTTCATGACTCAAACAAATCCATATCTACATGCCGTACCATGTTAAGCCTCGTATCTGAATTTTGGGTTGGCACAGATAACCTGACCCTGATATGTTATCAGCATTCAGTAGGTCAGCTTTTGTAAAATGAATCAGTCTACAAATGGCTATTATTTACTGATTTAAACTTTAGAGGAGTTCCCACTTTTGCTGGTTCCACTTTTTTTAAATATTTAACAGGATATTGTCCAGAATTAAATGGCATCAGAAATAACTCTGCTATTCACTCATCCAAACTGTATTTTGTCTTCTGAAATATAATCCCTAACAGCCTGATGGTCTGCAGACAAATCCTGGAAAGAAATACCTGTGTCACGGTGGCTTACATGCCAGCCACTGAACAGACCGATTCTTCAGCCATTTCTTCCATCTAATATATGCATGAACTCTTAACAAGAAGCACTGCTCATTTTTGATCAGTTACCATGACATATATAACACATGCATTTAAATTAGTGACAAGTTCGGAATAACAACTGTGCTTCACAAGGCAGTCTGGGGAACTCCTAGCCTCCACAGCGTACAAAGGAGTGCCGTGAAACTTCAGAGGATGTGTGGGTCACACAAGGTGACAAAACAACAGGAGCAGGATGGGGGTTCCTCCTTTAAAGCTACCACTGTATTCTGTATTTTATGCAAACATCAGTGACCACATGATATTGCCATCAGAAGCATTCTCTATGACTACGACCTCACCTGGACTCCTCCTAATCTGTGACTCCGCATCAGCCAGTGCTGGAACCTTGACAAATCACACTCTACTTTCTAGCAGAAAGTCATAATTGAGGCCTATGCCCTTCTAATAAAACAAGAACTCCACCTAATAGCCAACACATTTCTGTAATCTCAGTCATCAGAAAAAAGGTGAAAGAGATTGAATGGAAATCTCTCTTGGCAAACAGGCCTCAGTGGAAAAAAAAAAAAGGGAATTGCATGTTTCTACTTATCTCCACAGAAAATGTTATCCGAACTGTAACAATGCTGTGCTAGGCAATATATCAGAATACATATAAACAGATACCAAATTGTGACAAACACAATTAGATTAGACTAATTAGATTAAATTAATGTTACACTCTTGAAAGCTGGCTCTGTCCCTTCTTCTCAAAAGATTTGTTTCTAAGACTACAGATATGTCAAATACTCAGAGTAGATTTCAGCAGTCAAATCAGACTTTCATAGCAGAAATCTAACAGGTTCAGACACCAAAGCTAAAACAAAAAGCTTTAGTAAGTTTTAAATGCTTCTAAACTGAAGCTTAAATTAACTTTCCATTAGTCATTATGTCTTCATATAGTAATTTCTTTTGAAAAACACCCAAGAAGCATGAACTTCCGCTTTCTTAAGCGTCGATATGCTTAGGCACAGGTAAGAGCAGAGCAACGTGTGAAATCAGTTATAGTGAAGGAAAATTGCAACAATAGCCATGATCTCATGATTTTCACCTTGCATTGGACTGGCTGAATGCTGCTGATCCAATCAGACAAGGTCAAAAATTAAAGATTAATTTCTAAAAAGCATTTGACTAATTAACATTATTGCAAGAGAAAATACTCCTAGTTGTCTCAAGCAAAGCATAGATATGCTTCCAATAGGAAAGCCTTGCTCTTTGGAGACTTTCCCCCCATAGTTAATCACACATCTCCCAACAATACACCTGAAATTAGCATGCATGCACTCAGTGGCAAGACTACCCATGACTACGCCAGAGTCCTCTAAGTGCCCTTCTGTATTAAGTAACTGAAGTGAAGAGCTGCCTAAGGGCTGTAACCCGCTCTAATTTCACTTTCGCCAGTCCTCAGGCAGAGCGAGGTTTAGCTTAGGAAGCCGTGACTCAGAACCCCCTGGTGAACATGAAATTTCAGAATGATGCCCACATTCTCAAAGTAGTCTTCTTGCTTTCCAGACTTTTAACCTATGTTAAGACTCTCAAACCTTCCCACAAATAAAATCACTTTTTCCTCAGCTTTTACACTTGCAGTCAAATTGGTCATATCAGGGACACCAGCAGAAAATGAAATTTGAGTAATGTTCAGAACAAGTCATATGTTGTTACAACACAGCAGCTTTTATTGTCACAGGAAACTCAATTTCTCTGTTACTTTCATAAGGCCAAATATTTTCAAATACATTCTAATTTACCCTGACAAAACATGATTAAGCAACAGAATTACTCTTAATCTACATAAGTAAAATTGCCAGAAGAATTTGACCCATTATTTGGCACTGTCATCCACTAAAAATCACTTAAACAAAGGAACCTTCAATGTCAAATGAAAAGAATAATTGTACAGTTTCAGTTCAAGCCTGATTACCAAACAGGAATTTTAACACATAAGGGAGATTGATTGAATCAAAGTTAAGGTGAAATCATACTATCATAATAAACTCTCCTAGTGACGCAGTTTTTTTTCCCCCAGGTACTTTTCACAAATATTTGCTTTATCAGGGAGCAAGCAGGTAGTGGGAGAAAAGTAAGGAATGAACCAACACCTCAAAAAATCAACAAAATTCTGTATGCTTCCATTTACATTTGGTTAGGCATCCCACGCACTAGATAAAGACAGGGTGACATAGTCTAGAAAAATCTGTGTGGCACAAGGACAGGTCAAGCAGAACTAATCACATTTGGTAGTTAAAAAATAAATCAAGGACAAATCCGAAATAATTTCAGCAGTTTTATTCTTGCTAGACAGTAAGGCATAAAAAAGCCACGTGAAAATTTCACTGTGCACAAAATGAAACACTAATTTGAGAATAGGGTTAAAACTGCAATGGCTCTTAGCCTTGGAAGTTTGCTGCACAGTGGTACAAGAATTTAGAATGGAAACAGAATGCCTTGAGCAGAGCTTTAAAAATGAGACTGAGACAAGCTTGTACTGGAAAAAGAACAGGGTCTTATACAGCAAAAGCACTCCTCCCTGCCCTTTTTCCTGGCTTCTACTACTGTAATTAGTTTTGTAAGCTATTCTTAATGCCAAATGCTCTAGCTGTGTGTGTTTGCCATACAACCTACTCGAGTAATCAGAAGTTGATGGCAGATTTGGAGATTCAGGCTTCCAAGTGTGACACATTACTGTAATGGCCAAATTGGCTACGGTTGTTGGAAGAAATGGACAAAACTGCTTTCCAATTCATTGCTAACACCACCACATGGATTAGCATTACACAGTTCAGTTTCTCAATACCTTTCTTGATAACTAGACGATTAATTAAGTTTCCAGAGACTGTGGGAGGATTTCGTGACATACAAAATAAGACTTCTATGTGTATTTTGGATCTTGGAGGCTAAGGACATACCTGTCTCCATCTGGCATCCACAAATGAGTCCGATTAGAAGAACTGTAAATCTTTTCCCTTGGTAATTCATTACTTTCATTCACCACATTTTACCCCTCATGCAAATTGCAAACTGGGTGCAAAATAGATGAAAACAGAACTCTGCTCACAGTGCTGGCAGACCGCTACACCTCCCCTGCACGCACGTAGCCCGAGCAAGGCATCAATTAGCAGCGGAATGACAGAGCCCTGACTGGTGTAAGTGAGAACTGGGCCTCACCTTCTCAACTGAAGCAAGATTCCCTGGCTTTGCCAATAACAGCTGCAACAATGATCCTCAGCAACTGATGACAATGGAGAACTTAGTTCAGAGACATTAGTTTATAATGACACTGAGTCCCCATCATGCCACTCTGGCAACAAAAAGGAAATGTCAGTGCACAAATCCATACTGAACTAAGGAAAGTGCACGATTTGTACACAGAGGGACTGATAGAGCTGCTATTCAATAAGAAGCACTTTTGGAGTATGTAAATGAGCACCTCTGAAAGTGTTTCTTCTGTAACAGGCACAGCTAAGAAACAAATCCAAATTATTTGATGCGCTCTCTCTCTCTCTCTCTCTCTCTCAGTTTATTAAGCAGCAACAGACAATATTCCTGGGCAAAGAGACTCAGACATTTGTACAGGCCAATTAAAAAAACTAAACATTTTGCAAAGTTTTTTGCAACAAACAAGGCAAATAAGCTCTTATGCCATGGCTCTGTACGTAATTATCAAATTCAGAGAAATATTAAAATCTACATTCTAAATAATAGTTGACATAGAATGCCCATTGTTACTGCTCCTCCCTTACTCATTTTTTGTTATCTCCAGTTTATGGTCCCTTTTAGAATTAGCCCTTAGTCCATAATCAGGTGCTACTTTCACAAAGAGGGTCTGTGAAGATAGAAGCCATGCCTGAAGACTGGAAAGCAGAGCCTAACTGAACAAGCTCAGAAAGGAAGGTTAACAAAAGAACTCAGTAATTTCTATGATTTAGAACCAACCTCATGATTTCCAGGGACTGACTTACCATCTTTTAAATCAATGGAGGTGGTAATCTTGCTATGTTAAAAATGTTATCAGCTATGGGTAAAATATCAGGCCGAGTCCTTTGCCATGTAGGCACAAAGTGTCACTACAAGTTTGTTAGGCATTTATTCTCCGGTTCTGATCTTTATTTTATTTAAAAGTTACTATAAAATACATTGAACTTACCGTGACAAGTTTCCTTTCATCTCCCTTTATGTAATGAATTCAGCCAGGCTGGTACCAAAGCCTCCTCTTAGCAGAGCACTTCCCCAGGAAAACTATCACGATTCTGTGAACATAGGGCAGGTGTCAATAAGGTAAACCCATTTTAAGATTTAACTTTGGGATATTACGGTATAAAAAGTAAGAGTACACATCAATTACCAGCAGATCTTGCTTCACCTACCATCAAAACAAAGTTCACTGTAAGTGTATGTATCACTTTCTCATAAAAGTGTTAAAGCTGAACAGTTTCACAATAATTTTGAGTCTTTCTT